ATGTTAGTATTGCTACAATGTGCTGTTAGACGGTACAAGAGAAGGGACCCATGAACGACGATTCCAAAACAATCGACCGAACTCTAACCGATTCGGGCCGAACCGTTTGTCGGAGCAGAACGTGCCCTCAACAGCCAATTCTCGAACCGAAGTTCAAGATTAACCGCGCGAACATGCATCTATACTATGCACGAACATACGTTGCTACGCGGCCGGCATTCACCTCAGCCGCGATACTGAGGCGTTTTAACGTTGCTCCTACATTAATATATTAAATTTATTAATACATAAATATTTATATAATATATAATATTAATATAGTATTAATATTAATTGATATTAATATAAAATTAATTATATTAATAGGTATTAATATATTAAAGATTGCAACGCTGAGAGACATCCCATTTAGTCGGCAACGAAGTATGATCCTCGAATCGTGAAAATGGGATAGAGCTCCAACGCGAAAACGCGAAAACGCGACGCATCGTTGCTCCGGCACGATGACTGCACCGACGACGCACTAATGTCCGTTCGACGCATAAATGCGTGTGCCACATATGAGCCATTGTGCGACTCGTGGCAATGCTGTGTTGACACGCGACGCGAAAGACGCGAAAGCCGTCCGCGGCACGATGACGGTTACCGACGACGGCAGCGAACGTCTCGTACCACTACTTTCCCGTTCGAGTATCGCCGAGCGAATGATAACAGAGCCGAGGCCGGGCCGAGGCATGTAAACATTAGCGCGCTATTGTTTACGTTTACGCCGTCAAGGCTAACCATCATGTTATTGTCAATTTGTTGTCGAAATATTTTACGTACTATAATATATATATTGTATACGCGAATTTTAAAGTACAGAAATATATTTTAGATTATACATAGAAAGAGAGAAAGAGAGAAAGCGAGAGAGCGAGAGAGAGAAAGAGAGTTTATTATTTATTAAACGCGATTAAATCATAAACCTTTTTGTTATGTTAATTACTCAATCCTGCAATTTAATTCTTTTACTACCCCTGCGCGTTCTTAATCCGAATTATATTTAAATCGCTGAAAAGTCGAACGATATATAAAGCGTCGACATCACGCGAAATAAATGATCCGAAATTATCGTTACGATAAATATTTTATTAATAAATCAAGAATCTTTTATTTAATTTTAATAAATTAATATAATAAAATTCAATTATCGCGAAAAAAGGTAATAACTTATTATTTTTTCTTATTTTCTTGAAATTTAGCGAATTTCTCACATATTTAACACACATAAACGTGCCGATTTTTGCGACATATAATATGCTATTCTTTGCTTAACATAATCTTTTTTGAATTTTATAATATAATAATAAAATATTTAATAAAATAATTATGTAATTCACCAAAAAAAACTGTGTTTTCTAATACAAACTTTAATAAAATATATCATATATAAAAATCTCTTTTCTTTAATTATTATTTGTCCACATATAGGAACAAAATAAATAGAAATAAATGCGCAAGATAAATAAAAATAATGTACAAAAATAAAATAAATTTCTCACTTCAAAGATTGCTTCGTCGTCGCCCTCGATACTTTTTAAGCTTCCTTCTTCTCTCAGACTATCAAGATTTATTACAGAGTTCATTGCACTAACTCGCGAAAATATGGTTCATTACAATTCATTATCATTCATTGCGACATGATAAGAACATACGCGCGATACTTTGCACGGCACTCCCGAATTCCGCGATCGTGAATTAATATTCCATTTTGTTGAAAATAATTATACTTAAGAGTCAATAAAAACAAGGATACTATCAATAACTTCGAGTAATATAAAGCTTTGACACTCATCACTCGTTAACATATTAATTATTTAATATGTTAATTACGATTGTTTCGACACGGGAAGGATCGCTAATTATGATATAATAAATTTAAAAAATAATTACGTTTTTTGAAGTATAATCCGATGATGTGCGGAGCAGTAACCTTCCCATTCGAGTTTCGTCGTACAAAAATGACGATAAATTTTGCGAGTCAACAATAATATGCCGTACGGTATGAAGACCAAATATCTTGGTATGACAACTAATTTGTATGTGTGTTGCTGTCTTGAAATATTTAACATTTTATAATATAAATTCATGTTGAATATTCGATATTTTGTATTCCAAATTAAATTTAATATATGAGATATTTCATTGCAAATAAAATTTAAGATTTCTATAAGTAAAATTTATTTTATTTTGATCAAAAAACTACTTATATTACTACTATTGCTCTATTATATGTATTCTTACTATATATACTATTATTAAATTAATTAGTCTTATCACGTTGTTATTATTATTTTTTTACTAAATTTTCAATTTTTGAAAAGAACAATTTTGTTTGACATAAAAGAATCAAGAATTTTTCTCTTAATTTCAATAAAACAATATAATATAATTTAATTAATACGAAAAAATAATTTATNNNNTCTTTCTTTTTTTTCTTTTTCTTTTTTTGAACATGTATATTAGAAATACTGTTTTCGTATAGATATCACTAGTGTTATCTATGAGAGATCGTTTGCATTATCTCGATTCATTTTTAGATGGTGAGTTTGCCAGCTGCTGTATATGTATAAGTCTTTATTAGAAGATATCTATTAATTTAACTATTAATATCAATATTCTTTATATTTGTATTTATTTTACATAAACATTGATTAAATAAATTTTTAACGTGACAGTTATTAATAATTATTAAATATTTTCTTTTCAATTTTTAAAATATTAATAATGAAAGAAACACAATTTTATATAAAATAATTTACTTTTTTGATTTGTTCAAAAAATATGAGATTAAAGAAAATGTGCAAAAATATTTATAAAAATATGTAGTTATATATGTATATACATCGATATGTAATAATATATGTAATAAAGCTTTATGTGTATTTTTTATAAAATAGGAAAAATAGGAAAAGAGAGGAGTAGGGGGTTCATGTATGAACACAGGTCTATTTATTAAAAGCCAGTGATCCATAATACATCGTTATTTCTTGATATTATATACATTACATACATAATCCGTTTAATATCGTATATGTACCTTTTTCGGCTATATACAGTTAACAATGAAAAGTATAGGTAGCACAATTTCTCTCAGCTGCGCTATACGTTAATTGCTTTTCCTCTGTTACTTTCCTTTGCGTGAACTTCGCCAGAAACATTACTATAAACGGATTTTGCGATTTTCTCATAGCAATTTACAATAGTACGTAATACACCAACATCTTACATGACGTCAAAAATATATCATATATCTGATGTAAAATGAACATCTTTCTTACATACATTAGGGATAGGGATTCTTCATACATGTGACCGATATTTTATTATATAAAATAAATCAATTAACATAAATCACATGAAATAAGTTTTTTTTTTTCAAAGAATGCTTAATCTTCGAAATTAGAAATTGATTTTACGATAATATTTATTATATAGATTTTAATAAATAAAAAATGGTTTAAATTTATCAATGCAAAAAAGAAGTATATTTAAAAAAATCAGTTTTAATCCTTTTTTGCATTTAAATTTTAAATTATATTTGAATTTACAAGCATTTAAAAATCAATTCTATGTTTTAAACCACAGATTTCTCATGAGATTATAAAATGTCTGAGAATATAAATATATGAAGTAAATATTTTTGCATGTATGTCCTAAAAAAAAAAAAAATTAAGAGCAGCTGGAGCGCGCGTATCGCATACGGAACACCTTGAAGAAGGGTGTGCGAAATAAAACCAGTTTTTTAGCTCCTCCCAAGTCTTTTAAGTATATTCTCGTCTTCTCATTGGTTAAAACGTGCCCATTCCATAGTTTCGTGACATAACATTTGGTTGCATGAATTTGTACGATTAACATAATCATCTGTGGGTTACACGGTAATTTTCATTCAATATATTTCGAATTCATATTAAAAATGAAAAACGGCAACGGATTAAATTGATTCGATTTATATTTCATTTCAGAGAATTGCAATTTTATAATTACAATATTTTCATATAATCATATATTAAGTTCAAAAATAAAATTCAAAAATATTTCCTGCTTAAAAAGAAAAATTTGTTTAATTATATTTTTAATTTTAGATAGTTTATGAGATTTTCTATCTGACGTGTATATGTATGTATGTGTTCTGTGTGCATGCGTTTGATATATCAATTCTCTATTTTTTCTTTTATTGCATTAATACACATACAAACAGTTTTTAAAAAAGTCACCGTGTATTTGTCCACCTTTCGAAATAGATTCAAAATCAATAATTTTTTCTAAATTGCAGAACCCAGAAGACCTACATTCACTTAAAAATCGATAGAGCATATCGTACATTCATACTGCGTGTAGAAAGTATTTGATACTCTTCCAAGTAAATATTTTAAGGACAATGAATATGGAAGAGATGATGAGAGTGCGTTATCTGACTTTAGAACGGCCGTTTTTACAAATTTCCATCCACTCGATTGCCGTTCTTTATTGCGATGTGACTTGGATCAAGATGAAAGAAAAAGCCGTAAGATCAGGCAAAGGCGTGTATACGCGCGAGCCCGTCGTCACTCTGGCCATGATGAGCCTGGTTACTTCGGTCACTCTCGTAGTCCGTTGGTCACATGGAATGTTGAGGTGGCGGTAGCATGATCTCGTAACCGGCCGGTACGCTTTGCTGATGATGATGATGATGATGGGAGGTGGACATCATCTGATGGGTCTGCTGGTAATACTGATGGTGCATGCTGGAGTGGCTGGAGTAGTAGACCGAGCTCTGCTCCACGTCTTTTCCTCGGGTTTGAAATTGAAGATTAGAATAACAAAATTTGAAAATATAGAAGAGTATGATAAGAAGTCCGCGTGTATTTATATCGTTCATCGATTTTCGCGAATTAATTCATAATAATTTTTTTATCTGAATAATTACAAAGTTAAATTAAATAGATAAAAATTGACGAGCTAAAAATTAAGAATTTGAAATCAAATTAATAGCTGATGTTAAAAAATAAATAAACATAATAATATGATATTCTTCGAATGCTTAATATACCTGTGTCGTATACGCTGCGTCCGTAGCATAGAGCCTTAACATCGTTCATGGGGCTCAATCCGCCGTTGTGGGGATGCGCGGTATGAACGGACGACGGCGTAACGGGAGTAGCATAGCCATGATGAGGCCCCATGGGACTCATACCCATCGGACTGCACGGATTCATGGCAACTGGGGACATTCCCATAGTCGACAGAGGTGACATCGTGAGATTCGGACTGTCGGAATCGATGCTCTGCAACGACTGGAGGCTGCCACCATTGCTCACCGAGCTGCTAATCGTACTGTTGTTCGTGCTTTGACAATTCAACGATAACATCTCCCTGTAAACAGATTACAGTTTACGATATTAAAAAGTATTCGAAAAAACAATCTTCGCATACAAAAGAGTATTTTTTTGATTTCATCAAATATATTTTTATATCTTATCTAAATAGGCATCTTATGTGATCAAATTTTGCTTAAACGAATGCTAAATTAATTTTATCTCTGAAGTCTCCAATTTAATTGCATAAGAATTACATTCGTGCTTTCCATTCAAATTATTACATATTTGGATGTATAAAAAAAATGTATAAAAAAATATTTTTTTCGAATGCCTTAATTAGAGATGCTTATTCTTTTTAAGGTTCTTTTCATTTTACTAAACCGTTAAAAATCAATAGATTGTCAAGATGTTCGTCAATGATATTTTGAGAAAGGCAAGAGAAAATTGACTCGAGACAAATTCAACAGAAACAAAAGGGACTAAAGCTTACTTGAGAAAACCACTTGAACGCACTGTTGGGTTACTACCATAAATCTTGTTAAAAAAGTCGGTAGATTTTTGTCGAGAATCATACTGCGTATATTGTCTTAAAGCTGACAAAAAAATTGTCACTATAGAAAAAAAATGTGCTGATTCTTTGGTCCGGTGAAAATATATTTGAATGTAACGCACATGCGTATGGAACACGCTAAGAATTCCTGCGAATTTTTTTCTGGGAATTTTCACGGACGGAAACGTGAAAGGGCGAACTGAAAGGGATGAAAGGCACGAAAGACATGAAAAGGTCGTCGAGGCGATGACGATGACGAGGACAATAACGACGAGGACGACGATGATGACCATCTTATTCCGTCCAGCATCATATTGTTCTATATCCGCCTGCCGTGATGGAAACAAACCGCGAAGCCGACGCGCTCACGTACTCGCGCGTGCGCGCGCGTGTGCGTCACGCACGGTGGTCCATGTGCGAGAGCAGCTCCGCCCATGACCATGAGTCGCCTTTGCTCCGTGTTCTGTTGCTCTCCTCCGCACTCACGTTCTCTGCGAACGTCGGGCCGCGCATTTTTATGGTCGCGTCTCAAGGTCTGGGATTTGAAGAAATACGCCCTACGTGTAACGCCCTGCTTACCCCGAATCCCTTTCTCCGGCCTGGCGAATGGGAGTCTAGTCACCGGGGACAGGTGGGGAAGAGGGAAGGAAATTTTAGGGCTCATTTCGATAATATTTCGGGGAGGCTATTAATGTCGCTTGTGTTATGTCGTAATAAGTGGACCCATAACTTGGAAAACTTGGAAATTTCATAACGCCTTTTTTTTCTTTCTTTTTTTTTTTTTAAGGGATACATGAATGCGATAGATTGATTCAACTATCAGCAATTTTGCGCGCATGATTCAACGGATCAATAAATCCGTATTAAAGTTAGCCGTGGAAATTTGAGTCACGCAACGACACTTAGAAAATTATCAGATGGAACCGCATTTATAATCTGTATTCGCATCACTCCCGTTGGCGACCTGGTGCTTCTGGACCTAACGAGGAAGAAGGCGCGTCCTCGTTCTTGCACGGCACACGTAAAGATAAATCGAGGTAGCGGCAGAGGGCCGGCCGTGGCCTTTATGTAGTAAACTATTGGTAGTGCGAACAGCTCAATGGTGAAACGGGAGATGTAACCGAAGCTGCGTCATAAAACGGTAATGGGGCGTCGCGTTTCCTTTTCCTAGAGCCTTCGGCGAGGAGGCGGGAGGACTCTAAAGGACGGGAAAAGGGAGGAAGTTCGACTTGGTTCTCTGCCACCAAGAATTGTTTTCTCGAAAGCAGGGGAAACGATGGTAGATGCTGCGAGCAGTTTGCGTAGACGGATGGATAATCTCGTTTGAAAATTCAAAAATTAATCTCTAGCGGGAAATTATAACCCTTTGGCCCTCTTAAAGCTCAGATCCTCAAGTTCAGTAAACTCTTAAAATATTTTCTCAATAAACAAGATTTTTTTATCAGTAAATAGAGAAACTTATAAACGTAGATTAGCGTAAGATAAATGTAAATTTAAATAGCTTTGATCTTCGTTAATTAACTCTTGGGAGAGCTTCCAAGGAAAAGTTTAGCAGAAAAGTAAGAGTAAAAGCTCAGCAGAAAATTGCTTTCGATAACTTTAAAAATATTTGTATATACTGCTAAAGAATAACTACGAAGATTTCTCTATAAAAATGATCGAGAAGGGAGAAAAAATTTTATTAAATTCATTGAAAATATCATTAAACAAGGCCTCTCTTTTATACACATCCAAGAGTTAATATTTCACATATTTTCATCGCGCGCAAAAATATTTCGAATTTAACAGATTTTACAATTCGTTTTTAAGAGGACGACGTGTTCTGCGTCGTCATTCAAAGCCCATATTATCTCTAAAGAATATTACTAAAATATTGTCCACAAAGTGGAGAAAGAAATTGAGATACGAGTGACGGGAGAGAACAGTAGCGAGATCGATCAGAGCGACAGAGACTTGGCTGGTCAGCCGAATGTCTCTCGGTGCCGGAGCGATGGCTGACGCCGCGCACATATATATGTATACACACGCAGGTATCCCTTACGCGCGCAAAGGGACACGATATATGCGTGTGCTGCGTAAATTTCTGGCGGCGCGTTATGCGTGGCTCGTGCGTGCGCGCGAAGAAAAGAACGGACCGGAGAACGAACGCAGCGTTGTTATGGCTACGCGACGGTGCCGCGACGGTCACGGCCTGCTCCTTTCTCTCTCTTTCTTTCTTTCTCTCTCTTTCTCTCTTTCTTTCTTTCTTTCTCTCTTTGCTGGGCCTTACCGCTCTCTAACGGACCCATGAGAAGCCATGCGAAATTCGTCCCTCTCATCGACAGAAAAATGTGTTTGCGTTTTAACACGTTTAAGCTTGTTATATTTTTCCTAAGTAGTGCAAGTCAATATATTTTATACATTTCCGGATACGAGATAAGACGAAAATTTCTGTTATAAATTTTCCTCCGCGAAGAAGTCTCGTCGAAAAATTCTTTTTCAAAATAGTCACGAAGAATACGAAAAAGCAAAATTCGAAAATGACGCAATATGCATTGATAATATTAAATATATATTTAAGAGTATATAATATTTAAAGATGAATATTCTTTTGTACTCCCTCTTAATTGAAATCAGTATTATCACTGATAAGCAATGATTTGAGTTATAAATATAGTATTGCAAACAGTGAAATCTTACTGAGAATTAGTATATTAGTGAAGTACTCACTGATAAAATCTTGTCTGCAATAATCAGTAATATTTTCACTGATTCTATTTAAGAGAGTATACATTAAAATTTTTTCATTCTTTTATAATTTTTTAAATTATATATTATACATATGTCTGTCAATATAAAAATGAATCGAATTTATTATTTATGTAACTAAAATTCTGTTTTACAGTAAACAGACTTCTCTTTGAGCGACGGATTTTCATGCGTCGCTCCCAAGAATTCCGCTCTCGATCTCGTGCGTCTCGATCCCAAGAGATTAAAGTCTACGTTGCCTGATCTTATCGTAATTTGCTCTACCCCTGTTATGTCAATAAACGGCTGAACACGCGTCCGGCATTATCTAAGCGTGACTCCGTCTATATTTCTTTTTTACGTCTCTCCCGCCGCTTTTCTCTCGGGTGTATCGTTTACCAATGAACCTCACGCGTAACATAACAAGCCCCAGTGTTACGCGTAGAACTGCCAGACTTTATTCCTTTCCCCTCCCCTCCTGCGCTCGTAATCGCCACAAAGGACGTCAACATGACACAGACATTAATTAGATAAGCCCGCGGATTAGATAATCACACGGGAGAACCGAACAACACCGGATCCCTGAAGAATGTTTCACGATTATATCATCGCTCGGTTATCGTTTTGAGTCCGGTAAATATTTCTGTAGCTGCAGGATGAAGAAATCTGCGTTGTAGATTGAATAATCTAATTTTTGATTATAAAGGAACAGATATGCGTGCTCCGCGTTTGTGTTTCTTTGAACGTACAACTCAATATAATTATAATTTTAATATAATTTTTATTACAATTTTTAACTCACTTGCTTAATACTGAAAAAGGACACTTATCGGAACACTTGTCGCTGGGAAGGATAGGACCCCCCCACCCCTCCGTCAACACGTGCTCAATATTAAAAAAAAAAAAAATAGAATCCAGTTTCCCCAGTAATAATTTTATTCTTATTGCAAAACGTTATATCGTATTTATGTATCGAACTAATTTCATTTGATTTATTTTTGTTCTGAGCTAATGCTACTATATTATGTCACCGCATGACAATTGAAAAAAAATAAGATTTATTTTTCTTCAAAAAGACAATGGTCGATGATACCGGAGAGGAAATAAAATCAAAGTGATTTGTATATCCTGTGTGCGAAGCGACACTTTTTGAAAAAGAACACATACTGGAACACTTGTTGCTGGAAAGAATAGAGACCCCCCGTCGACACATGTGTTTTCCATGCATCTGACAACCACGGGTTAGAAATCGACGTTCATCGTCATTAGTGAACAATCACGATTTTCATGGGAAAATAAGAGTGCGGTGACGGCAATAAAAAAATTCAACGGCGAAATTAATTGAAACAAAGCGCATCCTTGCTTGTGTGCTCAGATTATGAACACCCACGCTAAGTATATCGTCAAGCAATATGAAACCAATTTAATTAATTTCATCAATTATTCTCCTTCTTTCCATGCGTAGAAAAAATCTTTTCGAGTTAAGTAGAATTACGGGTATAACCATCCTCACATAAAATATATTTGCAATTTAATTAAAAATTAACAAACTTTAATTCTTCTGGCGTTTTCACAGTGAATGTGCGTAAAATCTATTTGTACGAAGTACTTACGTTCTCGTTTGCGGCGTGCGATCTCGCTGCCGACGATTCTTGAACCAATTTGACACCTGAGTCAGCGTCAGGCCGGTCTTCTTCGCAAGATTCTTCTTTTCGTCCGGCGTGGGATATCGATTTCTCATGTAGCATTCCTTCAGGGCATTTCTCGATCGCTCTTTGAAGCAGTAAACGGTCTCCTCACCGTCCCAGATCGTCTTCGGCAGCGGATACTTTTTGCGCAGTCGATACTTGTCGACGGCACCCAACGGTCGACCGCGAATTTTCTCAGCTTCACGGTAGTGCGACTTGAACCACATTTGCTGAAGTTCAGGGTGACGACGTGGCGAGAAGGGATGGCTTTCCAAGATCGAGTAAAGTTCGTGGTAGGCTCCGCGGTGAAAGGCAACGGCGGCACGCGCCATCAGGACGCTCTCGCCTCCACGTAGCAGTTCACCAGGCGGCAGGGACCAAAGAAATCTAACATGAATACAAAGTTTTCTTTTTAATATATCTCGCAAGAGAATAATTTAATAAGTAATTCGGACAGTTTTGAGAAAAGATTAAACTGAACAAAATTTTTTAAACAAATAATTAAAATATATAAAAAAATTATAATATATAAAATACGATGGAAGATTTTTATATACGGCTTATATAAGAAATAATGTGTGCGCCCTTTCAATTACCTCGACAGCTTCTCGATATCCTGACTTTGCGAAAGCGCTTCGCACATGCAGGATATTTGCTCGGGGGTGAAATTGCTGGTGGTGCTGCTGAGGGAGAGGCTGGTGGTGCTGCTGAAGGAGAGACTGCTGATGTTGGTGATATTGGTGCTCACGCTGGCGGAGCTGCAGGTGGAGAGCTCCTGCGGATCAGTATCCGCAGGAGCTCTCCAGGAGGGACTGCCGTTCGACGTAGGCGTCAAATTCTGGGGATGATGAGTCAACCCGAGACCAGACATCGACGTCGCGTTGCCGTACTGCGCGGTTGCATTGCGATGCACGACGCCCATCTGGCTGTTGCAGTCGCTGTTCGGCGATGACAGCTGTTCCGAACTGTCCGACATCCTTGGCTGGCGGCTGCGTGGCTCTCATGAACCGAGGTGTCGGACAGAAGACAGGATTCCGTGCTCATTCGCCGGTCCCGGTGCGCGGGAAATATAATAGAACGTAACAAACGCGAGCTTTCTCCGCGTTATTCGAATCTCGATCGACGATCACTTGTCTCGAATTACAGATTAAAAATATGACTTTCCGCTCTCAAAATTGCAAATGAAAAATGGATTAACACTCTGTGCTGCACGACTTGTCTATTTCGAATAAAGTTTCGAAAATTCACTGGCAGTTCTGTATCTCTACGAACGTTCTTTCATTGTCCATATATTATATATTGTCACTTTTTATTATCGAACGTTTGCGAGGCGTACTTTTCCGCTTCTGCTATTCAGCAGTTCGGGATAGTATATCGTTGTGTCTTATAGATCAGCCGGATGAATAACTGATGACGAAAGTAAGCATCCGCACGTTCGAGTCGGCGCGACGATTGTTTAATCACGCACTTTCATTCATAATGACGCCCACTACATTCTCATTCATCAAGACTTACTCCAATAAAGCCTTGGCATTTTTTTTTT